TTTTATTATTATTATTATTATTATTATTATTATTATTATTATTATTATTATTATTATTATTATTATTATTATTATTATTATTATTATTATTATTATTATTATTATTATTATTATTATTATTATTATTATTATTATTATTATTATTATTATTATTATTATTATTATTATTATTATTATTATTATTGTTATTGTTGCTACTATTATTATTGTTATTGTTTGTTATTATTATTATGCTTGGCATTTCTTTTTTCAGGTCTCAAATTGAAAATCAAATCAAAAATGATATTTTAAACTGATTGAGAAATGAACAATATAAAAAACTTGGAAATATAATCATTCGTTATTATTCCATCAATCGACATTGAAAGTGCGGGAGATCAAAGAAGAATGGGTGGAAGAAGTGAACCGAGTGGATTATGCATGGATTAGTCAGATGAGGGAGGAGTGGGTGGAGGAGTTAAAAGGAAGAGTGGAGTAGGCGGAGTGGATGGAGTGGGTGGAAGAGTCAAGCGAGGGTGGAGGGGTAAAGTGGGGGTAGAGTGAATGGAGGAGTTGTGCGAAGGTGGAAGTGTTAAACCGGATGAACGAGTTAGGCGGCATAGTGTGTGGGTGGAGGAGTGAAGCGGGGGTGGAGTGAGTGGAGGAGTTAGGAGAGGGTAGAGTAAAGTGAATGAAAATAGAGTTGTGATGTAATGTTAATAGCAGTGCAATATTGACAAACACTTTCATTTATCAATATAATACATAATTAAGTGATGTCATTTGTGGATTGATAATTAATCATTGGATGTACAAGAATATATCAATCAATGGGTCCGAGAATCAGCCAAACAAATGATTTAGTAATTGCAACTATTTAAAATTTAAATGCTTAAATAATTAAATCCAAACATAAATGCTCAAAATACCTAACATACAATTATTGAAATATTGATTAGTTTGATTATATCACTTCAAGAAATAATCACATAGGCATAAAATGATCAAATAAATTTGGCTCGTTTTTTTTTTTCTCTCGCCAAATTAATCCATTATTCTAAGTAAATGTATTATTATCAGAGCAGTTGATGAATTATTTCCAAGGATGTAAATCAGATAATTTTTGAAAATTTTATTAGTTAAAAAAAATAAAAAATAAATTAATAAAAATAGATTTCAAAAATGAAATAAACAAAAATAGGTTTTAAAAATGAATTTTCCCTAAATATTTGCATCCATTAGAATATTTTAAAATCTGTTATGATTTAATTCAAATTTAATTACAAATTATTCGTTTTAGTTAGTACAGCTACTACAGTATAACATATAACCATTGATATCATAGCAAATTTTAAGCACAATTTATTATATCATACATTTCATTCAATATTTTATCATATTTGAAATGAATACTTCATATGATGCGAAAAAAAAAAAAAACTCAATAAGAAAGTAAACTTGATAATTTTATTTATTACTATAATATAACCATAAATTATTTTAATTCTTTTAATTTTTAATTTAGTTAGATGAAAAAAATGAATTTTTATTCAAATTTTTTCTCTTTTCTTCCTTCCATTTTTTCTTTTTTTTGTTGTTGTAAAACTAATATATTAATCACGAATAGAAGTAAAAATGTGATTTGAAATCGAAAAAGTACCGCGTCATTGCTTAAGGCTTTAAAAAGATATGCAAAAATGGGTTGACAAAATTGTCACACATCAGGAGGATGGAAAAAAAAAAAAAGGAATGAAATGCTTGAAATATAAATTATATTTATCAATGAAATTTCCATTTTCACCTCAATTTCTTTTGCAATTTTTTCCCTTCATCCTTTTTTATTTCTCTTACCACTATTTCGTTCATCCTTTTTTTCACCTCTTCCTTTTCTCTCTCGCCCTCTCCACTTCTTTTTTTCCCTTTCGAAAAGAAAAATCTTTCAAATTTTTTGGCAGAAAAAAAAATTTTTTTTAAATTAAATGCATATTTAAAATACAACAGATAATTTTTCTAAAAAAGAGTGAAAAGAAAAAAAAAGATTGAAAAGATGAAAAAGTTTAAAAGAAAGCTTAAATAACAAATAACTGAAATTTTAAATTGTTTACTTCTTATTTTTTTTTCTTTTTTAAATATCTGATAGAGATAAGATTACCTGAAGTTGATAGTTACTAAGCTGTCATCAGTATATCAGTCAAATTACACCAAACATTTGCAATATGTAAAATTTTACAAATAACAAAACGATTAATTATTAGTAAGCTATAATTGCTATTACCGTATAATTACTTAGTATCACTGGAAAGAAAAAAAAAAATCTCAATACAATACTAGCATAAAATTTACATATGCAAATGATACTAATTAATTTTGATTAATACCTAGTTTTGAACATGATCGTAAAGCTATTTCAAATAAAAAATGGGGGAAAAAAAATTGAGAATAATATATTTATTAATTAGTTAATTAAAGGGGAAATACTGTTGATTTACTTAAAGCTTTCAACGTTTACTTCATCCATCATTCAACATTTCCTCAAAATTTTTATTAAAATTTTTAAATTATGGATTCAAATACTACCAAATAATATAAATGAAAGATTAAATCATAAACTATCCTCTTCCGATAGAATTTACCATATATTATCAAATCATATTAGTTACCGTAACTATCATATATTACACTAAATCATGCAATATTACAAAATGATGCTAATAAATAGCATTTTAGAAAAGTAAATATAACACATTTTTCATTCATAAAATGTGATATAAAAGCAAATTTAGTTGAAAAAAAGAAAAAAGTCTAATGTTGACTTTTTTTTCCTTTTCACCCATATGTCTTAAATAATTTTTGAAATGTTGATTTAAAAAAAAAATAAAAATAAATGAAATCAAAATAAAAAATTTTTTGTAAATAATGACGAATTTAGCATAGATATAACTCATTACATTAGACATGAATTAATTTAATGGAAAATTATATCACTATCATTATCATCGTTATCATCGCTACTAATGTTGTTATTATTAATTAGTGCTATTTTTATTAATTCTACAGTAAATT